AGTTCTGGTGAACACAGACCGTGCCTCAAAAATAAAGAAGAAACCAGATCCTTAAGCCTCAAGCAACAGACATTCTAATCAACAGAAATGGCTTGAGATCTAGAAATCTGCACTTTTAAAAAGCTCCCAGGATTGCTGACACACATCTAGATCGCAGAAGTTGGTACTGAAGAATCCCAAAGTTGTCTGGTAATTCGTGGCCAAGGTAACAAGGCATAGTGAGGTTTGTGTGTTGATTCTGCTTGTTTCTGAGTGAAGAAAGTGAGGAACCCTGACGAGTCCACAGCCACAGCAGTCCTGGCTCTCTTCCTTTCCATGTTTCTATACACATACTGTCTGTCCCCTCTTCTTCTTTAGTCAATTTACATAAGCAGCGGGTCTTTAAATAGACCTGCTAAAGGCCTTCTACTTTACAATAACCTGTAAGAGTGGACAAATTCAGAACTCAGACGAACCTGCCAAAAGAGAGAAATATGCATTTTTGTCCCCAGAGTATTTTCACACCTATGGGGTTATTTTTTTTTTTTTTTATTTTTTTATTTTTCGAGACAGGGTTTCTCTGTGTAGTTTTGGAGCCTGTCCTAGATCTCGCTCTGTAGCCCAGGCTGGCCTCGAACTCACAGAGATCCGCCTGGCTCTGCCTCCGAGGGCTGGGATTAAAAGCGCGCACCACTGCCAACCAGCCTTTATGCGGTTATGTTTAAAGAACTTCCTCAGGTCTCAGGGAGCATTGTGAATAAACACCCCAGCATTTGGATCATTTTGTTTGTCATGGAAGGAATGGTTGAAATACAAAAATGCAAGAAAGCAGAGCTACTCTGTCAGGGGAGGAAGCTCCTGAAAGAGCTAGTGTTTGCAGAGCTGCCGCCAGGCAGGTCAGTTTCGAGGAGCGGGAATGCATGACAGAATTAAAAGTTGCCTCAGAGACAAATGGCTTCAGCGACAACCTTAGCGTATGAGCTAATCTAGCAGCTGCTACTCTGGTGGTAACTCCTGCTTACTATTTATAAACCAAGACTGTAGCTAGAGTTTTCCTGCCTGGCTCACAGTCAGGACAAATCTCTCTCACCTGCCAGTCCCACAGCCACTCAGACCCGACCAAGTAAACACAGAGACTTATATTGGTTACAAACTGTATGGCCGTGGCAGACTTCTTGCTAACTGTTCTTACAGCTTAAATTAATCCATTTCCATTAATCTATACCTTGCCACATGGCTTGTGGCTTACCGGTACTTTACATCTTCCTTGTCCTGATGGCGGCTGGCAGTGTCTCCCTGACTCAGCCTTCCACTTCCCAGCTCTATTCTCCTCCTTGTCCCACCTATACTTCCTGCCTGGCCACTAACCAATCAGTGATTTATTCATTGACCAATCAGCAACACATTTGACATACAGACCATCCCACAGCACAAGACAAAATGACAAAATGTTCTAATCGTGGTGCAAAACGAGGCAACCAAAGGCACAGTGCAGTAGGTAAAATTTTACACTTTATGAGGATAAAGTACGGCAAGTCTACATTAAAAACCAAACCAAACAGAAAAGGAGGGTTGACAGTTTCTAAGTGTGCGAAGTGAAGAATCATAGAGCCAAGCCAAATTGCTAAAGGAAAGCAGTTTAAAAGACTGAGCTGTAAGAAGTCCAGGAAGAGGAGGGGACTAACATTAAAAATGAAAGGCAGAAGTGTATGTGTACCAAATAGTTATAAGCTAAGAGCAAAAACTGAGGAAAAGCTAAAAGAAAAAAAATTAGGTAATAAGATTAATTTAGAAGATAAATCACTGAGTGCTCACCAACAGACGGATAAACAGAATGTAGATTATATAAGTGGTATGTTATCTCTATAAAGAGGGTTGAAGTTAGGATACATTTGAGGATCCTTAAAAACATTAGCAGAATCAAACAAACCAAATAAAGAAAAGGTAAGCATTGTGTGCTTCTGCTCATCCAAAATATCAGAATAGGTAAATTCACAGATATAGGAAGGAGATTAGGTGCCCCAGGGCTGAGGGAAACATAAACTGTTGAGGGATATTTTGGGAGAGGGTCGTATGGTAGGGTTTTGGAAAACGTCGTGATAGCTGTGTTGCAATACCGTGACTGTAACTAACGAATGGTAACTTTTAAAATACATAATTTACCACAATGAGAGGAAGCCAAGACAGACTACAAGAAAAATCACCATGCAAGAAAATGATAAAAGAACGCTAGCATATTGTAAGGTTAACACCTTCAAGTGTGGTGTAAGGAACCTCAGGAGCATAATTATAAAGGAAAGGATACCTGTCCAAGAAGCAACAGGGTGAACAACCTAATTTCAAGTCAAGTATGATGACCATGTAACGTGACATCTTAAGGAGGACACTTTTGGGAAGACGGAGGACTATTAATAATTGCAGGCCAACGGGTGTACAGTGGGCCTGTCTCAGGCCAACGGGAACGTGATGCTATTCTCTATATAAGTGCAATCAGTTCCTCAAGGCTGAATTCAAGTCCATAGTTGGGGGTCTGGCAGAAGTATAACAGTATTTTCTTGAGGAACACAAGTTGTGAAAAGTGCACGATAGTTTTTCATTCTTTTTATAAAGAAATAGTATACAACTACATGGCATTTATTGTTTACGAATCATACAAGAATTAGCATATAATAGGTTTTATTAAGAGGTATAATTTGTAGTAGTTTTAGGTATATTCTAGTAATTTTAGAAAGCTATATTTTACAACACATTTGCAGGCACAATGTCTTAAGATCAATCAGTTTTTATGAATCTACATTTTTATATACTTCATTATAGCTCGACAGAGTCACATACATTCTTTTGTACTCATATTGGCTACAGATATTTGAGTTTGAAAAGAATCTTAAAACCAAATTAGAATTACTGAGAAAATTAGTAATGGATATCTTACCCATTATTTATGAACTAAAATTAATATTAATGACCTAGAAATAGGTTAACTTAAATAGTCCATACCTTACATGAGAAGCTCCGACTTGGGACGTTTCTTGCTAATTCTGATATCTTGGGTTTATTTTGCAGGTGATACTTTTCCAATCTTATTCTATTGTAATAATGACCAGCGAAGTTACAGTAATTCTTTTTCTGCATGCACTTCCCAAGGTGAGGGATACTACACTTCAAAGCTCGGAGAAATAATTTGGTCGTCTGCTGCATGGTAGCAAAGTCCCTGTTTTTTTTTTTTTCTCCCTTCACATGAATGATTTCATATGTATAATCATACAGTAATGGGATCTCAGAGCATTTGAGATCACCACATCTTATCCCTCCCCTTTGGGGGTCATGAGCCTCATAGGTTATAAATAATTCCAGACATCTGATAAGTTAGGTTAAATAAATTCAAAAACTTGTATAAGTTAAAGTTCATTCAAATCATACTTCTTGGCAGGTTTGACTCAAACATGTCATCTGTAAGGTCATTTTTACTAGGTTCAGGCTAAGCAGCAGTGATTCTGGTGCACATATGGGCAAACTAAAACAAAAAACAGAAAACAAGAAACAAAATAAAAATTTACAAATAAGTAAATGGACTTAATGGGAAGCTCAGGAACCCTGAGGGTGTTCAAAAGCGAAATGGGTTTTATCTTACATAATTTTGGGCATATCATTGGTTTGTATGTGAAAGATAAATCGGGAAAGCCTGAATTAATTAATAAATATTTGTTGAGTGTTGGCCAGGTGCCAGATACTTTTCATCTATTCGTCTAACTTTAGCTTCATATATTCTTGATGAAGACGCTAAAATGCTGTTCATTTTACAGGTGACCCAACTGTGGCTCTGGGAAGTTTAAGAAATTTCCCCGTCACCTGTTACAGCAAAAGTCCAACTGATCTGGCGCCTCATCTTGTACGTGAGTTATTGGACTTAACCATAAAAGCATAAAAAAAAAATTAAACCCTGCAAGATGCACAAATAAAACGCAGAGTCATCTGTGGTTTAAGCTGAAAGGTAAGTTCATTATAACTTCTATAACCAGAGACCCAGGTTCAGGCTTTGGGCCTTGCATCTGGGCCTCAATTTCATCACTCGTAAAACAAAAAATAACCACACCACTTACTTCCTGGGGTTGTTGTTTGGTAACAAAACCAGACAATTTGTACAAGTATCTGGCACACGGTAACCACTCAACAAAAGGTTTTTTTCTATATTAGCATAGGAATAATTTAGGTATGTTGAACACTGTTGAGTATAATGAGAGAATTCTTCTGTAACACGTTCCTTGGTAGCACAGAAACACCCCGGTCAGGTTTTTTTTTTTTTTTTTTAACCACAGATCCGATCAGCTATGACGCCCCCTCCCCCTTAATCTTTTATGTCGCAGCAAAATAAGGGACCAGTGGAGGAGCAGCCTAGAAGAAAAAATGCCCCTAAATCGCTTAATGTGTCCCCGTATCTTCCAATCCATTTATCCACCATGCATGGAGAATGTGCAAGGATGGGGATAAGGGCGGGGTAGACAAATGGGTTGCTCCCAGGAGAACCTATTCGTTTCCCTGTGCAACTGTGCATCCCGGGGGTGTGGTAGTTGGTCTCAGGGCATGAGGGAATGGTACCAGTTACCACGCATAGAAGAGACAGGGATCAGAAAGGGGACCAGGGAACTGAGGAACGCTGGAAGGTGGTGGGGAGAGGAATCAGGAAAGGGGACCCTCCGGCAACCCTCCCATACGTACGCAAATCGAAAGGCAGGCCGGCTCTGGACACAAACGAGCGAAGGCAGAGGAGCCAAACACGAGAACGCGAAGCTCTCAAGAAGGCGGTGCAGTCACCTCAGCCTCGTCCACCCCGAAGTCTGCGTTCAGCACCCAGCAAGAGAGACAACCTATCTCGCGCCGCCCAGAGCTAGTTTGCAGCACGCCGGTCTACGTAACACCAACCCAGCCGGGGGGCGAAGCACATTTGGCCATCTTTATTATGGTGGTGGGGGTGGGTGATTTTTCTCTTTTGGATTCACTAGTCTTAAAAGACAGCCGTCTTTTGGCTTTTTGGTATTCTGTCGAGCAAGTGACGAAGTGAGGAAGACGAAAACAATGAGGAGAGCCCTCCCGGTCACTATTTCACAGTTCCCTCCCGCTCCCGCTCGCCCTCACTAAAGATGGCTACCAGAAAACTGGTGCAATGACGTGACGCCGCGGTCCTGGTTGCCAAGGAGACGCGAATACCGGAAATGCGGAATTCGGGGAGGGCGCACGCAAGGGCTGTGGGCCAGCCGCCCGGCGTCCCAGGTCCTGACAGGGAAGAAGTTGGCAGGTCCTGACTGGGGAGAGCTGTGGCGGAGGCACCTCCGGGTCCCGGTAGCTCCGGGGATGGAGTCGCGGGTCGCGGCCGCTGAGGCTGCAGGGCCTGAAGCAGACGCGGGCGAGGGTCCCATGATTGGAGGTGCCAAGCAGGGGTCGGTGGTCTCGGTGCCCAAGGGGGCCGCCCGGTGGAAGCTCCTGCGCCAGGTAAGGGCGACCGCTCGCCACCTTTGCCTCTGGCCACTCCCCTCCCAGGTACCCGGCGCTCAGCCCGGGGCATGACTTCTCCGTGCGCCGGGAGCCAATCGGGGAGCCTCCCCTTGCTTCCGCGACACCGTTCCACCTCAAAAGGGAAACTCTGGCGGGGTTGGGCGGGTGAGAGCGGGACAGCCGTAGCTGAGGTCCCGGGAAACTCACATCCCAGTAGGAAATCGCTTCGCTGGCCCGCCTGATGGCTGGGACCGCCCCTCCAACCCGCGCGCTCTTCTTCCCTGCCACTTTCCAGTTGGGTTTAACTCCCAGCCTTGTTGTGGTCACCGACCTCCACGGTGCACCTTTTGGTCCTGATGGAAGGGTGACACTGCCCGCGTGTCCGTATGTATAGATGAGAGTAAAGGGAGCGGGAGAAGCGACTGACGTTTATCCTCTAAGTTTGAAGTCATTAGTGGGGATACTCGCTGCCCAAGATGTACCGATGAATCCAAGTGTGTTGTTGGCTCCTCGTAACTTCCAGGAAAGGCTGCTGTGTTTATAAGTTTCCTCGGTCGTTGTGTCACAGCGATAGAAACGAAACTAAGACGGTGGCTCAGAGCACTGAGTTCTTACTGTGTTATTTTACTTAGCTGTTGCCATTCACAAACAGCCACGATGTCATATGTCATACAACTTCTTTGAACCACCTGGTAGTTTACTGATATAGGCTGTGATCACCTGCATGGTTTAATGTTGTGTACTTGGGCCAAATACTCAGAATTCTTAGATCAGTTGGCTGGCATGCTCTCACAGTTATGATAGAAGTATAAGAGAGCAAGAGGCACATTTAAGATCCCTGCTTACACATCCCATGCTTGGAGTTGGCACACCCCAGCATCTACCCCGTGTATGATCTGCTGGAGTGTTTTAAGGGACTGATCCTGTGGAACCATAGCTGCAGGATCTCTGTGACTTCGGGCAACAGCGGGATATCAGAGAGGAATGTTAGCGGAGGTCCACTATTGATGGTGTACCAAAGCCAGAGGCCTCGAACCTGACCAACAGCACTCCACACAATGAACATTTGCAAGTAATGCTGTTTGGACAAAAAGGTATAAAGCATGATACACAGCAGCTCCCAATGCCACTAAAATGAATGGAGAGGTGATGGATAGGAGGAAAAGACAGTTTTGTTTTTTAATTATTATTTTTATCTTACCCTTTTTATTTTTATCTTATTCTTTTTTAGCTTTCCTTTGGCGGGGGACACTACTAGAGTGAGGGGTGGATATGGAGGGACTGGGAGATGAGCGGGATTGGGGTGCATGATGTGAAATTCCCAAAGAATCAATAAAAATAAGAGAAAAAAATTAAAATGAAATTCCTGCTTACATGATGTCTCTTAACATGCTGCATTACTTACATGTATTATTAGAGTGACCAAGTACCAGACAAAGCAATTTCAGAAAGGAAGGGTTTATTCTAGCGCACAGTTTGACAGCTCACAGTTTGATGGCTCACAGTTTGATGGCACACAGTTTGATGGCACACAGTTTGATGGCTTACAGTTTGGTGGCGCACAGTTGGATGGCACACACTTGGTGGCGCACAATTTGATGGCACACAGTCCATCACAGCAGGGAGAGCCAAAGCAGCAGGATTTTGAAGCAGCTGCTCACGTTGTATTAGCACTCAGGAAGGAGAAAGCAATGGGCAAATATTTTTCTTTTCTTCTATTTATTTAATTCCTTCCTTCCTTCCTTCCATTTATTTAGTTCAAGATGCAGCCTGGGAAATGATGATACCACAACTAGAGTGTGTCTCCTCACGTTGGTGAACCCTAATCAAGAAAATCCTTTACAAGCGTGCCAAGAGGTTAACCTAATATAGATAACCCCTCATAGACATGCTCAGAGACTTCTTAGGTTCCTCAAGTTCTTGTCCAGCTGATGATCACTGTAAGACATCACATCACATCAATCACATCACATCACATCACAAGACTTTTGGCTAAAGGAAGATGCATATTTAAACCAAAAGTCACAGGGTAGGGAAAAATACTCCTTTTTGAGGTGACATGGAAGAAGTGAAATTTTTTCTATAGTACTTCAGTCTGTCACAATAGCCTAAACATATATGGGCTTTTAGTGAGTGTTTCAAGTGACTAAACCACACATGTCTCCTCTGTATTTGGAGGCAGAAAGCCTGAAGAATCTGATCAGGGTTTCAAATGTGTGACTTTTTTTTTTTTTTTTTTTTTTTGGTTTTTTGAGACAGGGTTTCGCTATGTAGCTTTGTGCCTGTCCTGGAACTCACTCTGTAGTCCAGGCTGGCCTCAAACTCACAGAGATCCACCTGCCTCTGTCTCCCGAGTGCTGGGAGGGAATAAAGGTGTGCGCCACCACCGCCCGGCCCGAAATGTGTGACTCTTAAGCTGGGAATGTAACTCAGTGGTAGAGGACTTTGCATGTGCACAGCCCCTAGTTTGGATCTCTAACACTGGGGCAGAGGGGGTTCTTTCTTTTGTGGCACACTTTTGTGATTTTTTTTTGTGCTTGTTACTCCCCACCACACACACACACACACACACAATTTTGTCTTTTGGGACTCCTCAGGATTCCGATGATGTCCTAAGGTCCTTTTTATATTAGCTGTTCAATGCTTACTTTGGAATTCACATTTTAGAGAGAAAACCTGTTTGCCCAGTACATTATTGTTTCTAGGTGTTGTGATGAATTGCTGACTTCTGATTCTAGTGCCTACCCTAATTAGGTGAGATCTGGAAGCCTGTGTATGATCAATTGCTAAAGTTACAAGTATTTTATTTTCCTTTTTTGTTGAGGCTCATCTGATAGCAGTGATGATCACTTATAACTTCAGGCTTTCTTTCTTTTTTTTAAAGATTTATTTATTTATTATCTATACACAGTATTCTGCTTGCTTGCATGTACCTGAACATCAGAAGAGGGCACCAGATCTCATTACAGATGGTTGTGAGCCACCATGTGGTTGCTGGGAATTGAACTCATGACCTCTGGAAGAGCAGCCAGTGCTCTTAACCTCTGAGCCACCTCTCCAACCCCAACTTCAGGCTTTCAATGTCCATCCATTTAGGGGTCCTGAAGAAATGATCTGTTTTCCCTAACAAAGAGTTTCTTCTAATTGACATTTCAGCCAATTGCTGCCTAATTAGAATGGAGCTGTTTGGCACATCTGGGCCATCAGCCTACCCAACAATCCCGTCAGAATTACATAAAGAAGAGGAGGTGGCCAAAAAGAAGGAAACACAAACTCACAAACACCTACAGAACGGAATCGTGTACCTACTGAACACTTGGCTGAAGAATCTGATCAGTAGACTATCTCATAGTCCAGTTTAAGCAGGATGCTATGGATTAGATTGCCAGTGTTAACTGAGGCCCTGGAGTTTAGGCTCAGGCTTGCCCTTGACTTTGATGAACACTTTATTGGATGTCAGTTTTTCATTGTAAAGTGAAGGAATGAGGTTAGTCATTTCAGACAGTCCCACTTCTGATTAAAATGAAATTATCTTTCTATCTTCTAATCCTAGTTTTCATTGGAATCTTCAGATTTCATTGGAATCTGTAGTGACTTTCCATTTTCACCCCTAATTTTTATAATTTGAGTCTTTTTTTTTTTTTTTGCTGGTTTAGGTAGGGTTTTACCCATCTTATTTATCTTTACAAAGAACCAACTTTTGTTTGATTGGTTCTTTCTGTATTCTTTTTATATTTTTAATGTCTGTTTCATTGATGTCTATATTGATTTTCATTATTCCTTGTTCCCTAGTACTTTTAGACTTGGCTTTGTTGTTTGAGACAGGGTTTCTCTGTGTAGCCCTGACTGTTCTGGATCTCGCTCTGTAGACCAGGCTGGCTTGGAACTCACAGAGATCCACCTGCCTCTGCCTCTTTAGTGCAAGAATGAAAGCTGTGGGTTACCACCGTCCAGCAAGGCTTTTTTTTTTTAAGGTTTAATTTTTAATTATTTGTATATGGGGGCGGGGCATGTGTACACACGAGTACATGTGTCTGTGGAGGCCAGAAGAGGGCATCGGATCCCTTGGAGCTTGTGTTCCAGGTCACTGTGAACCACTTGGGAACTGAGAACTGAACACAGGTTCTCCTGTTCTTAACCACTGAGCCAGCCCTCTGGCTCTTCTTGGATTATTAGTACTTGTTTAGGATCTTGAGTTACAAAAATCCAATATGGAGAAGGGAAAATGGACAAAAAAATTACACCCTAACAAAGAAGCTATTTGCAGTTGATAACCTGGAGTGTCACTGGGATATCAACCTCACTGTAGGCCAGACCTCACCCGGAAGTAGTTGGCCGACACACAACGGACTCCATGCTTTTCTTGTGTGCTTTTTGTTTTGTTATTTGTTTTATTAGTTTGACTCATATATATTTTTTTTCTTGAGAGAGAAAGAACATGAAGTTTGGTGAGTAGGGAGGTGGGGAGGATCTGGGAGGAGTTTGGAAGGGGAAAGAGTATGATCAAAATATACTGTATGAAAAAATTTTAAATAAAAAAGAATTGAAAAAAAAAAAAAAGAAATCCTCAAATAGCAATGCATGCTTATCTTGGTTAGCCTAAAAATGTTCTTTAAGAAATTATTGAACTGTATATACTCGAAACTCAGTAATTATCATAGAACTGGAAAATCATTATAATCATATTAGTTACATCATTTATAATTAAACTAACTAAAATAGAGAAATTAGAACCATACACAAGACCATTGTTGGCATTCAGGCCGGCCCCTTAGGGACCCACCCAGCGTCCTGATGTCCTCTTTCTCTTCCTGAGGCTGGGCCCACCTCTGCTTTCCTTTCTGTCCTTTCCTCTGTCTCTCTTTCCCTCTCTCCCTCCCGCTTTCTAGTCCCTCTCCCCTCCCCCTTTAATAATATATATGAGTCAAACTAATAAACTTTCTCGGTGGATGCTGTGCCTGCATGGTGTGAGTAACTGTCCGCCCTGCCCCCTTGGCCACTGGCCGCATGGTGTATCTCCTCCACTCAAACTTGCCAATTCCATAACAACCTTGAGTTGCATCATTAGTTTATTTATTTAATTTAATTTAAGTTTTGAGGCAGAGTTTCACTCTAGCTCTGGCTATCCTGGAGGTCACTCTAGACCAGGCTGGCCTCAGACTCAAGAGAGATACAGCCTCTGCCTCCCAAGTTCTGAGATTAAAGGTGTGTGTTATTTCTGCTCTTTTTTTTTTCCTGTAACTCCTAACTGGTTAACCTTTATCCCAAGATTCTAGAAGTTACAATTTCATTTTGATTTAATTGGAAAAATATTTTGATTTCTACTGAGACTTCTTCAATGACCCTCTATCATTCAAGAATATTTTTTTGATCTTTAAGTCTGTTTAAGTAATAAGTAATTTTCCACTGTGTTTTTATTTGGTTTATTGAATTTCTAATGTCCAATATTTCTTCTTCTTCTTTTTTTTTTTTTTTTTTTTTTTTGGTTTTTCGAGACAGGGTTTCTCTGTGTAGCTTTGCGCCTTTTCTGGAACTCACTTGGTAGTCCAGGCTGGCCTCGAACTCACAGAGATCCGCCTGACTCTGCCTCCCGAGTGCTGGGATTAAAGGTGTGTACCACCACTGCCCCGCTCTATTTTTTTTTTTTTAAATATCTATTTCCAAGCCATGAGTGGTAGTGCATGCCTTTAATCATAGAGCTTGGGAGGCAGAGGCAGGTGGATCTCTGAGTTCGAGGCCAGCCTGGTTTACAGTAGTGAGTTCCAGGACAGCCAGGGCTACACAGAGAAACCCTCTCTCGAAAAGCCAATATATTTGCATATGTATATATATTCAATATATATATTTACAATATATAAACATACATACAACACATATATATACAGCGAATATATATATTTTCCTGAAGAATTCGTCTTCTGTGTTGGTAACCTTTTCACCACATTGCTGATTTTTATTGTCCATTTCCTTTTGTGTTGCTGACTTTCTCCTCCGGATCCTGGATTGAATTTTTCTGCTTGTGTCTTTTTTGATATCACTATCATTTTTACTAGTAAACTTTTGAAATCTTCACCCAACATTTTATCTACTTCAGTATCTTTGGATTCATCGAAGAATTGTGATCTTTTGTGGAAGTCATGCTGCCTTGCCTTTGAATATTTTTGATGTTTCTGTGATGTACTTTGTAGAACATTGCTTTGAATGTCTTTTCCAGTTGTGTTTGGAGCTGTTATTGAGCAGCCTACTCCTGAAGCTCAATCTCCATTCTGTCCGTGAGGAGAAAACAAATTATAACAGCTGCAAACTGCAAAGATATAAAAATTGATTAGGAGGCCACCTATACATTGACAATGACTATATGCCAAAGTTAACTAAGAAAACTACTATGAAGTTATACATTTAGGGCAAATGTTCTGTTTTTTTTTTCTGTTTTGTTTTTTTGAGACAGGGTTTCTCTGTGTAGCTTTGGAGCCTGTCTTGGAACTCGCTCTGTAGACCAGGCTAGCCTCGAACTCACAGAGATCCGCCTGCCTCTGCCTCCCGAGTGCTGGGATTAAAGGCGTGCGCCATCACTCCCTGCTCCATTTAGGGTAAATGTGGAAATACTAAGTGACTAGGAAAAGGAAGGAGGAAAAGTGCAGGGAAAGAGGAAAACCTAGAGTAGCCAAGTTCAATAAACAGAAGGAAAGAAAAGGGGTGTGCAGAAAGTTACGGAGGAGAAAAGAGGAAGGAAGTATCAGGAACAATGAAAAAGATTCCCAATAGAGGGAAAAGTGGAAAATAAAATTTAAGAAGGGGAATAAAAATATGAATTTAAAAATAAAGAACTTAAAAATTCCTTTAGATGAAGTCAGCAGCACATATATCATTGGAATGATACAGCGATGGTTAGCGTGGACCCTGAATAAGGGTGATACACACATTTGAGAAGTTTTCTATATTAGGGAGGAAAAAAAGCAACGTCAAAGTACTACTAAATGCCCTTCAAAGAGTGTAAAAAAGAGGTTGGTGAGAACACAGAAGACTTAAAAAAAAAAAAAGATTTGGTTTGGGGCTGGAGAGAGAGACCGCTTAGCTGTTAAGAACACTGGCTGCTCTTCCAGAAAAGTGGGTTTGATTCCCAATACCTACATGACTGCTCACTACCATCTGTAACTCCAGTTCCACGGGGTCTGTTACCCTTTTCTGACCTTCACAGGCACCAGGCATACACCCGGTGCATAGACATTCATGCAGGCAAAATACCCATACACATAAAATAAAAATTAGAAAAAAAAATGAAAAGATCCTCCAGAAATAAAAAAGTGAGATGACTGTATGAAGCACAGTAAGAAATAAGGACTCATTGTAAAAATATTGCCAAAGAGCGGGATGAAAAAGCAAGAAGTGGCCGGGCGGTGGTGGCGCACGCCTTTAGTCCCAGCACTCGGGAGGCAGAGCCAGGCGGATCTCTGTGAGTTCGAGGCCAGCCTGGGCTACAGAGCGAGATTCAGGACAGGCACCAAAACTACACAGAGCAACCCAACCTTGTCTGGGGTGGGGGGAAAGCAGGAAGTACAAGGTGCAGGAGAAGGTAAAAGGATGTAGGAGCACCTTCTTTTGGGTCCCTAGAATTGGAGACTTGTGGTTATATGCAGAGAGATGAAGGTGCAGGAGGTCAGAGTGTCAGCCAGACTTCTAGGCTCTTGGTTGTACCGTTGGGAGTGTAGCAGAATGGTCAGTTGAACCTCTAGGCTTTTGGTTATGTCTCAAAAATTATTATGGACCAGCCTTAATAATCTTCTTCCAAGGGGCTCAGAAGAGAAACTACGAATGGCGAGAATAATCTGTGGGAAAAGAATCTACACAGCTTCTATTCTGCTCTCATGCCTAGCTCCTTTCTTGCCTGATTTCCTCTACCTTTATCCGCTGTCCCCTCTAAATTCTTAATTCTCTCATCTTAGTTCTGCCCCATCTTGGTCTTTCTCATCTCGTTCTTCCTCATCTGGCTCTTCCTCATCTTCCATCTCATTCTTCTAGATCTCCATCTAGTTCTCCAGTCAAAGTCCTCTCTCAGTCTCTGAGGTTTACAGTTATGTACCCATGCAATAGCAGTGCTCTAACTAAAGCAAGGTCTCCAGGCTTGAATTTTTACAGGGTCATAAAGGCAGACAAGAGTTTTCCTCAGGCAGTGACCCTCAGGCTTTCTTTTACAACCCAAAAGAGGAGTGGTAAAGGAGGAGGTCAACTGAGAGCCAAAATCGGTTATTATATCAGAAAAAGGGAATTTATGTGCTCCAACTACATTCCTAGAGGTGGTTAGGTAAATGTTAGGAGTCTATAATGTTAGTATAAATACCACTAATGCTGTATAAGAAAGGATGGTCTGAGCTTAATTTACCTTAATTCAGGAGATCATGTGGCCTTGGATGCTTGATAGGTATTTCAGATAAAATACACTGTTATCAGTTCTCGGAAGCATACATAGCATATAAGGAAATCACTGTAGGAACCAGCTAATATATATACAAAAGCTAAAATGTCACCAAGACTTCTTAAGCCATCGCTTGACCTTCAGAAAAGTCCTTGACCTTTCCAAGGAGTAGCTTTTGTGATAGTAGCTGAATTCCATTATATTTTCCTGTGGCTTGCATCAGTTATGAGCATGGCGATGCAGGGGCGGTGGTCATGGAACCTCCAGGCCCTTGGTTATGAGCACTGGGAATACTGTGTTTTGATTGTATTGAAGTCATTACATCTATTAATACATTGTCTCATATTCAGTTTGGTTGCTGAGTCCTACACACACACACACACACACACACACACACACACACACACACACACACATTCCATTCCAGCCTCATCTTATACAATTCCTGCCATTTCTCCAAGGGTCTCACATTGTTTTAGTAGAAAATGATATTTAGAGACAACAATTTGGGCACTGAGCATGCTAATTTCTACAAGTTTGATCATTGAACTTTTCAACGGTGGTCAGATATATGTATATATAAATGTGTATATATATGTATATATTTAATTGTAAGACAGAAAATATAAGGCTTTTTTAGTTTCTATTATACTTCTGTTTGGATGTAGAACTGTAGGGTTTTTGCTAAAACTCATTAATCTTACAGCTCTCTCTTCTTTCTCCATACAAGGAAAACTAACACCAGTAAAACTAGTCATTTGATTTATCCTAAAACAAATAAACACATGTACACACATGCACACACACACACACACACACACACACACACACACACACACACGCATACATATGCTGTACAGGCACACACAGGCACACAAATACATATACATGCATGTGCACATACGTATGCTGCCATGCACATACATGTACACACACACACACACACACAGAGCCGTATAATAACATACCTGCTCTAGTTCTGGCTATTAAATGTGTTTCTTGTCTTCTCAGTTCCTCCAGTTAACAAATGCTCAGGAGAAAAAGTGGATATAAAAACCTTGTTAACTCAGGATTTTTCTCCTTTTTAAGATACCGAATTGTTAAACTGTTACCATCCTCACTGCTCTCCAGTGCCTTCCGACTTTCTCCTTATGTTCAATAGGACATTAGTCTGAATAATCTAACCCAGTATTATTGGAAACTCAATTTGTACTACTTGTATATTATAACCCCAACATTTGCTTTTATTTCAAAGGTTCTGAAGCAGAAACAGCTGGATGACTGTCTGAAACATATATCTGTGAGAAGATTTGAATCGTTTAAGCTATTCTCAGTCACAGAAGCCCAAAAAAGGGAAACTGAGGAAGAGGCTGGTGTGTGGGTCCAGTACACAAGCATCCTTCATCCCGAATACAGTATCTCCTTAAGGTGAGCGCAGTTCTTCTCGAAAACCCATGCACTGAGCGGCCCCGTGTGCCTGCTGCGACTTTGCAGCAATCTTTATTAGAACTCAGCTTTGCAGCTTGATGTTGGAAAATCCTGCTGCCTTAGACAGAATCTCTGATGCTTCTATTTCATAAAAAAAAAAAAAAAAACCAAACCAACAACAATACACAAGTATCAAATGAAAGCAACAACTTTAAAAAATACTTTTGAAGCCTTCTAAAAAGATTAGCAATTTGGTGCAAATCACTTCACTAGAAGATAGTCTCATTGTACCTTAGCTCATTGCTACTTTATTTCTAAAAACACATTTTATATTTATCGTACATAAATATCATTTATCATATTGTTTGGAAGTCTGTACTCTTGCAAAAATCAATATTTGATGAAGGATGTGTTTGTTTACTATCTTGTTGGTGTTCTGTTGCTGTGAAAAGATACTATGACCAAGGCAACTCCTATAAAAGAAAGCATTTAATTGGGGGCTTGCTTACAGTTTCAGAGGGTTAGTCCATAATCATCATGGTGGGAAGCAGATAGGCATGGTGCTGGAGCAGTAGCTTTATATCCTGATCTACAGGCAGTAGGAGAGAGAGAGAGAGAGAGAGAGAGAGAGAGAGGGAGGGAGGGAGGGAGGGAGGGAGGGAGGGAGGGAGGGAGGGAGGGAGAGAGAGAGAGAGAGAGAGAGAGAGAGAGAGAGAGAGAGAGAGAGAGAGAGAGAGAGACAGGGCCTGGCACGGGCTTTTGAAGCCTCAAAGCCCACACCCAGTAATACACCTCCTCCAACAAAGCCACACCTCCCAATCCTTCTCACACAGTTCCACTGACCCAGGACCAAGCATTGAAATATATGAGCCTATGGGAGCCATTCTCTTTCAAACCACCACACCTATCTGAGGTTCAAACTTTATGCAATGCTTTTAAGTAAACTCAGTACTTTTAGAAACATTAAAAAAAACTTTAAAAGAAATGTTACTACCTTTACTGGGTCTTGCTGTTTTGTCGGACAAGAAAAATAATTCATTTAAGGAGAAAGTGGGTTGCAAACAAGGGGTTCATTCAGCTATTCTCTCAGCATTTGATGATGACAAAAAAGCCAAGTTCTTTGCGGCAAAGAAGATTGAGAGTAAAAACAGAATTTTTCCAGACTATACTTCAAGTAGCAGTTGTCTGAAAATCAAGCTTTGGTATTTTTCCCATTCATGTTTTGTTATTCTCTGAATAGAACCAGAAAAATAGGAGCAGAAACTTCGACTGAAGATACCGGTCTTCTGAGAAGCATGCAGACTGTTGTAGTTTTTAAAATAATTTGAACAGAGATAAGAGATTTGCTAACTGAAGTAATAAGACGCCACTTTTCCTGAATGAATTCTCCCTTCTGTTTATATTCTGGTGTTTTGCAATAATACTGTAGTTGTTTGATTTGTATAAAAATCTGCCTTTTGTAACATTTCACATTTTGGGGGTGGAGGGTACACTTTGGTATCAACTGTAAGAAGAGCCAAGAGCGTCTTGAGTGGAAGGGTGACTGAATGTGGCCTAGGTGAGGCCAGGAATGATGTGGTGAGGGTATTGTCATGAAGGATGTCTGTTTATAGCGCATTAGTTAAGGTTTCTAAATTTTCAAAGGTGCCACAATAGTCAAACATTCGGATAGTTGACTAGGATGGGTGTGAAAGAACAGATTTAAGGATCTGGTTTTTAAATACTTGTTTTATTGACAGCAGGAATTAAAAGACACAAAGTTAGTGATATGTAATTAATTAATTAATTAATTAATTTTTGGTTTTTCCAGACAGTGTTTCTCTGTGTAGTTTTGGTGCCTGTCCTGGATCTTGCTCTGTAGACCAGGCTGGCCTCAAACTCACAGAGATCCGCCTGGCTCTGCCTCCCGGATGCTGGGATTAAAGGCGTGTGCCACCATCACCCAGCAAAGTTAGTGATTTGAGAGCTTGCCTTTACATTCATTATGAAATTCTAACTAGAGTATACCAGTCATTTTTTTTTTAAAGGGTCTCACTATGTAGCCCCTGGCTGGCCTAGAACTCACTATGCAGATAAGGTTGGCTTTGAACTCAACAAAGACCCACTTGCCTCTGTCTCCCGTGTGTGCTGATATTAAGACATCTGTCACCACACTTGACTACTTTGTGTTTTGATGTAGATAATCTACTAAATAAGTCCTTGCTCAGAAAAGAAAGTATATTACATATTACTAAGTGCCTGATAATGAGCTAGGTGCTTTGATAGTTTCTGTTTTCAGGAATCTTTATGATAAGTCTGGGAAGTAGTAATAAAGATGATTACCACCTAAAAGTTAGTGTGTGTAAATGAAATAGATAGAAAACCAGAATGATTCAGAGTCTTCAGAAATAAACTTTAAAAGCTATTTTCTTGCATCTTCTTGTTATAAAAGACAGAGTAAGTTGGAGCAGGAATAATTTCCTGACTTCTCAATGCCCAGTAATTTTGGCCACGGAGAATGTGATATTTTCCTCTCTTGAATCTTTACCCATAAGGCCTTGTTATCTATCCCATGGTGATAATCTAATATATTCTTGGCTAGTGTATGAACTGAACTTTTCCCAATAACATGGTTCTTTGTAAAATACTCATTTTTGAAAGAATAAATATAAATGTCTCTCTAGAATTATGACATGGAGTTTTAACTGAGCTAAAATTTTGACCTTGAAGGTTGCCAATTTTATCTCTTTTTGCATTCTTCTTAGTGTCCTTCTACATTAGCAAGCAAAAATAATGATACCTTAAGTACACTGAATCCACAGTAGAACATGGGCTTCAGTACAGTCATAGTAACACTAATAATGGCTGACAATTGATGTCTACTTGGTGATATCCATGTTAGGAGCGGTTTCTATGTATTAGTGTCTTTAATGAATACAATAGCCAATTTAGGTGAATAGTATCAACATCTACATTTCATAAATGAGGAATAATCTGGTTGAGGTCACACAGCTGGTCATGTAGTAATTTGTTGCCTGTATTTAAACCAGGTAATCTGTTTTGACAGTTTTTACTTTCAAAGCACTTTACACAAGTAGTTGTAGACACGGTACAGTGACTTCCATGTGACTTTCCTCTCCCTAGCCCTAGATAACCTCTCTGGAATGGACATACCTCCCTACTTTTAGCTTCTCCATAATCCTGACTCGTAGGAATTGGAGCCCGGGTACAATGATTTCCTCAGTGATCTTTGTGATCACCAACTGGCTGCTTTATGTGTGACCCTGCTATGCTAAAGAGCTTTACTGGAGTTACCGAGGTGCCTACAGCAGTTCATTCTTTCCCGTTACAAACTTTGTTCATGTTCTCTCCTGGTTACTATTTTTGTTCATTTTCTTTTATCTGAAATATGAATCCCACTCTTACTTTTTTCTATCTCATATTAGCACTTTCAGCCTGTTTTTTATAAGATTTCTTAACAATATTATCTGCTTTATTTAGTATTGAGTGATGGCTATTCTGAAGTAGTTTTTTTTAATACAACAGCCAAAAGGAATGGATTTTTTTTTTTTTTCTTTTTGGAGACAGGGTTTCTCTGCATAGCTTTGCGCCTTTCCTGGAACTCACTTGGTAACCCAGGCTGGCCTCGAACTCACAGAGATCCGCCTGCCTCTGCCTCCCGAGTGCTGGGATTAAAGGCGTGCGCCACCACCGCCCGGCGGAATGGATTTTTTAAAAAGTAATTTTAAATAAAGTACTACACATACACAGACACACAGACACACAGACACACACGCACACACACATAATTACATGTAATTTTTTTTGAGACAGAGTCTTACTATGTAGCCCTGGCTGGCCTGGAACTCAGAGATCCACCTGCTTCTGCCTCCCATTCTACATGTTTCACATTTGTTAACTACAACATTATGGAATGATTAGAGGGAAAAAGAGGAATACTTTTAGGTAAATTCAAAACAACAAATGTCTATTAGTAGCTTGTATATAAATAGAAAGATAAGCTATGCTTTCCTCAAGGAGCTAACGATCTGAAAATTGAGACAGTAACAAGAATGAAGGACAGCTGGGTAGGCAGCCCGAGAGCTCTCACCACGTGGTGCACAATTGATGACTAAATAATTAAAAACTTAACATGTATCACCTTAGAGGTGCTGTTTTTGGAAAGCACTGAGGGGCGGGAGCTTGAACTGGATCTAGAAGTGATGGAAGGTTCTGGAAAAGGGAGAAGTCATTCCCGATGAGAACAAGGGCGTCATGAAATAGGTAAGATGAAAATGTGCAAGGCAGAATGATCCAGGCTCCTGAGCAGGCCATCTCGGACCCTAGGGAGAGGGTCCTGTAGGCAGAGTGTTTGGTTGTTACGCACTCCCACAGACCATAAATGTGAGCCCGCGTTCTCGGTCTCGCTCCCTGTCACCCAGAGTCCCTGGCACTGCTCAACAGAGGGCACAGGGTGACTCTTTCTCGTTCATTGTCCTTGGCATCTGCTCTTCCCACCTTAATTAAACCTCCTCATACCTTGATTTCTAGCTAGCCCTTTGAAGTTTTATTAGACTCAATATAAATGTCCCAAAGAGAGTAAATAACTAAACAATTGTGAATTTCAAAGTACCTAGTAGTTGTTTATATTACTGTTATGAAAATTATAAAATTATAATTATGTAAAACTGAAACTTTGACCATTATTTTCTCTTAGCCTTACATAATGGTACTTAAAATGAAGGATAATTAAATTGTCATAGTAACTTTTCTTTCCTCTTTTTTTTTGTTTTTGTTTTTGTTTTTTTGAGACAAGGTTTCTCTGTGTAGCTGAGGCTGTCCTGGAACTCACTCTATAGTCCAGGCTGGACTTAAACTCACAGAGATCCACCTGTCTGCCTCCCGAGTGCTACAGTTAAAGGCCCAGCTGAAACTTTTCATGAAACGCAAACTTTTGGGCTGTTAGACAATAGGCTAGAGTGTGAAGTCCCGGGGTTTGTTGTCACGTCTGTGTCATTGAG